TAAATAATTTAAAAGCTTTTCCAAATTATTATTGCGAAGAAATCTTACCTTGGCAACCTTGTAAAACAGCTGTTCAAAAACGTTTTGCCGTAGATCGTGTTTATACGGACATTTAACACGGTTCAGAGGTTCTTAACTCGCATTTGAAATGCGGATTTCGGCGACACGCTAAAAAGTCTCGATACGTGTTACGTGTACGTTTACACGTCCGTATCAAAATTAAACGACTTAAGGTAACACGAATAAATGCGTTGTATAAACAAGGTATATCTCGATTCTGTTGACGACAAAGATGACGATATCACGCTGGCGAAAGACGTGCAACGTACTCATAAGGCTGGCGGATTCAACATTCGGAAATGGTGTTAAAATTGTCCAGAAGTTTTGAACGCTTTGGGCGAATCAGCATTTGAGCTTAAGATTAATATCAGTGGTGGTAATACCACAGAAAAGGTACTAGGCGTATTTTGGGTTCCGAATGAGGACGTAATTATATTTAGACTTTCACCTTTATTTTGTCATAAATAAATTTTTTATGGAAACAAAGCGCCAACGAAGCGCGAAATGCTAAGCATCGTTATGTCCATTTATGATCATCTTGGCCTAATAAAAAACAGTTTAGTTGTTGGAAAAATATTATTACAAGCCGTTTGCGTAGTTCATTAACTGGGATAAAGAAATTGCTCCTGGCCTAGCCGAAGAGTGGTTTCAATGGTTAAAGTATCTGGCTATTTTACAGACCATCAAAAATTTCTCGTTGCTACTTAAAGTATCACGTCAATTATAAGGGGCTGATGTTCAACTGCAAACGTTTGTCGATGGAAGCGATAGCGCTTACGCTGCAGTATGTTATCTACGTGTATCAAAAAACAGCGTCGCCGAGTGTACTCTTATAATTTCAAAGGCTAGAGTAGCGCCTTTAAAACAAATTTTAATTCGCAGACTAGAGCTGATGGCCTCTGTAATTGGTGTTCGGTTCTTAAAATTCGTAATGGATTCGCTATCAATTAAGATAAACCGAAAGTTGTTTTGGTGTGACGCAAAAACTGTGCTAAGCTGGCTGTACTCAGACAATAAGCGCTACCATCTGTTCATAGCGTAGGTAAAATTTTGGGGTCTAGCGATATTTCGCAATGGAGATGGATCGTGTCAAAAAATAACGTTACGGACGAAGCCACCAAACAATATAAGAAATTCGAGCTTTCTTCATCACACCGTTGGTTCAATGGTCCGGAGTTTCTTACTCGCCCCGAAGATGATTGACCACAAGAAAAACCCAATATCGAAACCACGAGTACTGAGTTAAAGAAACATGTTCTTCAAATATCTGAAATTAAAACGCTCCAAAATGTTAATCGATTCTTGAAATGGTGTCGCCTGTGGAGATTAGTGTCTTACGTTTTACGATATACTCATAACTGTTAGAGAAGCCTGTTGAACCAACCAATGCTTTTAGGAGAGTTGCAGCAAGACGAGCTTTATCAATCGGAATCATTGTTATACCGACAGGCACAGCTCAAACATTTTCAGAAGAAATAATGCATCCCAAAGCTCAAAAACCATTACGGAAAACATCTCTACTATATAAGTTAAGAGCATTTATTGATTACGATGGCGTTTAAGGGTGGATAGCAAAACAGCCGACGCACCGGGGCCACGACAGAACCCGATAATTCTTCCAAAAAATAGTAAAATCTCAGCCTTAGTTGTTCCATATTACCACTCGAAATTCCACCATCTGAATAATGAAACGGTGATAAATGAATTGCGGCAATACTTCCCATCAATCAAAACTTCTAATAGCTGTACCCGCAGCCCCGCAAATGGCGAAATTGCCACGAGCGTGGACCACTCCATACGTCGCTGCTTTCACTTTTACAGGCGAAGACTTTTTTGGGCCTATTTACATTTCGGTAGGACGTCATAAAGAAAATATATACTGCGCCTAGTTTACGCGTCTGACAATCAGAGCTGTTCACGTCGAAATTGTCCACTCTCTGACGTCGAGCTCTTGCATTTTAGCAATAAGAAGTTTCACCTCTCGTCGGGGCACGCCTAAAGCATTCTATAGTGATAATGGTACCAATTTGGTTGGCGCCGAACGAGAACTACGTGAACTTGGCTGCTGTTAACAAAGATTTTTTAGTTCGTAATTTCACAACCGCGACGACATCAAGGAAATTCATTACGCCGGCAGCACCTCACATGTTTGCTCATACAAAGCCATATTTTTATAAAATTACTCCGGCACGCGCACCGAGTTGATGGTCCTGTTGCACTGTATGATGGCACAAGTGAAAGATATCATTAGCCCTCGGCCGTTAACATATATGCCCATAGGCAGTGAACAAGAAGAAGCTTTAACACCTAACCACTTCTTATTAGGAAGCTCCAATGGCATGAAACCTTTTGCCACCTTTGACGACCACCACACTATTTTACGTCACTCTTGGCTCACAACTCAACAATATGCGCAGCATTTCTGGCAGCGGTGGGTCAAAGAATGCTTGCCCAGATTAACTTGCCGCACAAAATGGCATGACAGAAAGAGGCCGAGTCGGGAAGGAGATTTGGTTGTGGTTGTCGACCCTGGTTCCGCAAGGTATGTTTGGCTCCGAGGTAGAGTGTTAGAAACAAAAACCGTTTCGGATGGCCAGGTTCGCAGTGCTACTATACAAACCGCCCAGCAGAGTTTTTGAAAGAGCAGCCGTAAAGTTAGCAGTAATAGAAGTGGCTGGCGAAAAGAAGCAAGCCCACGAATCCTTCTCGTCATACTGAAGGGGGGTGTTACTATTAGATCCATTTACTAAAGTACAACCACATGCGAATTTTTAGGGTTAATTATTGCGATTCCAACAGTGACCGAGATCAAGTTATCTAAAGCCTAAGGTGAAATTGTCCGCCTTTCTTCATTAAAAAAGTATGTATACTATTACTGAAATTCTATGAATTATATTTTCTATTAATAAGTGAATTTTTAATCCCATTTAGGAATTTAAACTCTCTAATAACTGTCTGCATTTGTGAAATAAAATATTCCTGGATTTCTACAAATTGCTTGTTTTAAAATCGACGAAGATTTGCGGACTCAGTGCAGAGTAAATCTCTCTGCTAACAAAGGGAATGATTCGTTTAGTTCAAAATTAGTTTTGCATGGCTTTAAAAACAGAGGTCGGAAAGTGTCTTGACACTAAACACTAAAATTTACCTCAGCCAGAAGGGCCGGGCTATTAATCAAGCTTGTCATTAAGTTTACAATATATATTATACCTGGCATTTCTCTACGACTTGCGAGTGTAGGAAAATGTATGAGCTTTAGATGACTATTGCAGGGGGGGGGGAGATTGTAGTCTGAATCTTATTTAAAATCACGCAATGCAAAAGACAAGAATTGTTTTTGAATTTATTCAATCCTTTCCGAATGAACTTGATAGCGGGGATTCCAAACAATAGATCCGTATTCTAGTATAGGTCTAACAAAAGTGGTAAAAAGAGCTTTTGTAGCATAAGGATCGCTTTACAAATGCAAAAACGCCTTTGGATTTATTGACTATAACATTAATATGAAGGTTGAAATTGAGTTTGGAATCCATTGTGATACCAAGATCGACGAAATTGAATACCTACTCTAGATTATAATTTGATATTGAATAAACAGCTGGTTGAACTGCCCTTCGAGAGAAACACATAACTTTATACATTTTGCATATTTCTTAAAAACAAAGTGTTATAAGCACGTCCACTCTGATGGCAGCCCTTGTTAACTCCGCACGCGACATATTGACCTCCTTCTGCCTGAATCGTGATGGCCCGCTGCACCAGCATAGAACGAATCCAATTTACCAGTAAATAATCTACTCCATGCCGTAGAGCAGAATTGCACATGCTATCGAAGGTGGCATTGTCAAAAGCACCCTCAATGTCTACAAATATTCCCACGGTGAATTCTGTCAACCAGATTTTGCAAAGCCGTCTCACAGGAGTTCCACGCCTGATAGGCATGTTGATGCAAATACATAGGATGTTATGAGAGTGTCTCCCCACGAATGCGCAACTCTACCAATCTTTCCACACATTTTAGCATAAAGGATGTCATGCTAATAGGCCTGCGGCTACTGTGGCTAGTATAGTCATCCTTACAAACCTTTGGTAAGTACAAAGGCGACATAAACCAGCTTCCAAGGTTGTGGTATGTAGATAAGAGCAAGAGATGCTGTAAAAATCTTTTCGAAGGTCGCCAAATAAAGCTCAAAACCTTCTTTAAGTACAATAGGTAGAATTCCACCCGGACCGGGCAATTTGAAACTCTCAAAAGACTCAATAGCATATCTTAGGGCTTCTTCATTACCTTGACACTATGGTTCTTGCATACCTTCCATCATCAGTCGAGGGAGAAGATCAGAGAGTATCTCAATCCTAGTCTCTGTTAAAGAGCCATAAGGCCTCTTGAGTGAACGCAGCTTTGTGGTTTGGTCCTTCTTCAAAACTTTTGCCAGCCTAGCCGTTTGACTCAATGTTTCCTTCCGGCTGTAGTATTCTCACCCCCCCGAAATGGAGAACTGTAGGATTTTAAGGCACTTAAAGTTTGAAAAAAGGCAAAATGAGCTTTGAAAAAGTCAAAAGAGGCATATATTTTTTAATTTTGTTATGTACTTCCTTTATATACAATGCGCATGTCCAATTAAAGACATAGAAAAATATATCTCCTTCTTATTTGGCACTACAACCGTTTGTCAGTTTGGGCCGAGACAAAAAAACCGTTTCCAATTGCCTCTCTCCTGTGCGAATTTGCGCCAGTTGGTTATCCCGAGCGCTGACAGCTCCTTCTGCACTTGGTTCTTCCATTGCGTTCGTGGGCGCCTTTGCTTTCGTTG